TTCATCCGCTAGGCTTCTGATGAAAATCTGTTTGACACCCCCGCTACATACTACCCACGTCCATTTTTTTCCGTTCTGTTTTAGAAAATGTTCGGAAATTTCAGGAACAGTTGAATTCGGATGTAACCAACCCCGAAATTTTGCTCGTCCCCTGTGCCCTTTTTGCATATGTTTTTTGGCTATTGTCCAGTGGGACCGGGACCGGGACCTTTACATGGTTTATTGCGTATTTCTTCAAATTGCTTTCAATTTCAAGTCTCGTAAGTTTTGACTGAGGTACATATACGATTACGTAAGGGTGATCCGGCTCGACGGAAGTCTCACAAATTTAGAATAAAATGTCTCTTATTGCATGGTCGACTACGTATTTCACTAATAAAATTTTTGAAAGTAGATAGATTAAATGATGCAGATTTTTATTGCGTTACGTAATATACGATTGTGAGAGAGGCAGAAATATGCATTCAAAATACGAAATTGAATGTCATAGGCCAGAAACATGGTGACACCGTGCTTGAAATTGAGTATAAAAACTTGTAAAACAAGTTCTTGTTATAACATAATGAACATTTTTCATTATTCCAAGATTTGCGGAAATATATCTTATTGTGTTGGATTCCACACGCTATAGAATTTATAGTTTTTTCCGTAAATCTTCAAATACTCGTATGCATCTTACTTTGAACAACAGCCATGACACTAAGATTGATTTTGCTTTCGATAGCGGATATTAATTTAGTTGTTTTATTTTTTTCTACACAGAGTGAATACATTGCTAACTGTGATAGGAGAATGACTTGGCTGACTGGATTTGACGGCACAGCAGGTAACTTTTTATATATGTGGCGGTGCCGACTATCAGTGGCGGCAATTACAATGTTAATTAAGCATACGTTTTACGGTAATGGTTTGAAAGTTGATTCGATAGTTGCGCTTATATCGAGGATTTTCAGAATGATTTGGTATAACGTTTTTAATTGCCTCATATCGGTGTCACGGCGTCACCATACGCGAACTTAAGATCATGTTACTAAAAGACGTAGCTTTTTGTGCTATTTTTGTATTCATTTACCGTAGTGTCATACCTAACACTTGTTTGCACTGCCAGTCAAAATCGTGCGACGTTTGGATAGAGGGCGCTAACACGAACGCATTCTCGATTGTATATTAGGTATTGCTGTGGTTACTTTTAATATGTCTCTGATTTGGCTTGACTCTCGTTATTATATACAAGCGGAACGTCAACTTGACTGTAATTGGCTCGTGATGAGAGCAAGTAAGTTCGTTAATTTGTCTAGAATTCGTATAACGTTTCTGCACAGTAGTGTTTTATCTGTACCCAGACACACTTACGTAATTTTAGTGTAAATGTAAAACAGACATATACGGATAGTTAGAGTATACCATCACTAATACGTAGATTTTATTACGTATTTTGAGTGTATCCCATATACTATTACGTAGTTTGAGTGTATCTCAGATTGTATTACGTAATTCGAGTGTACCCCAGATTGTATTACGTAGTTCGAGTGTACCGCAGATTGTATTACGTAGTTCGAGTGTACCTCATATTGTATTACGTAGTTCGAGTGTGACTCAAATTGTATTACGTAGTTCGAGTGTACCTCAGATTGTATTACGTAGTTCGAGTGTAACTCAGATTGTATTAGGTAGTTCGGGTGTACCTCATATTGTATTACGTAGTTCGAGTGTATACCGGACACTAAATCGTGATTGGAGTGCCTCAACGGTAATACGCAGGGTGTACCTCAGATTGTATCACGTAGTTCGAGAGTACGTCAGATTGTATTACGCAGTTCAAGTGTATCCCAGGTAGTATTACGTAGTTCGAGTGTATCCCGGACACTAACTCGTAGTAAGAGTGTTCCCAAACACTATTACGTTGAGTGTTCCCACTATTGTATCACGTAATTCGAGTGTATTTTAGACACTGTCACGTAGTTTGCGTATACCCAGGACACTATAAAGTATTTCGAATGTACATATTTAAAGTGTATTCCATGCACTTGTTTTATTTGTTTACTACCTATGTATGAACATAATTGAGAATACCATAAATACTAAATCTATCAAAAATATGTCAAAAAAGACAGTTCTCGAGGGATTAAGAATGGCTTTCGCGCATTTATCCGGTAGAATATTACAATCATTACAACTGAAACTGCGCTGAGCATACGACGGGATCTGAACTACTAGGTCGTTATAGTCTGCCCAGGACGTATTTCAGTTATAAATAGTTTGACGTTTAACGCTCTTACCCTAAAAAGTCTACAATTTACTAATATTATTTACATAATTTCAACTTATATGATATAACAGGTGATTATAACACTCCGGAAATATGGGAATGGCTTGACATGTTTCTTCCTCCGGATAGTGATGTTGGCTTTGACCCTTTTCTGCTTACAGCAAGTAAGTCATTTATGTTATTTGTGTTCTTGTCTTTGTCCTTGTGGTTAAACAGATGAAACGTTGTTTCCTACAGGTTCGGCGATTTGTTAAACCGCCAAATTGATCTAACTGTACGCACACAGTATAATCATAATAAACTCGTTCACTCAAAATTATAATAAAATAATTATTATTTTTCAGCTGAGTATATTTTCTATGAGAGATGGTTTTTCCAATCGCCCAAAGAACTTCGAATGTACTCACACGAAGAGAATCTTGTAGACAATATTTGGCATGCTAGACCAGTATGCCCGGATGTAGAACCAATATTTATACTGGATCAAATATGGAGTGGTAAATATAGTTAATTTCACAGCGTTGATAATTTGAATAAGCCTCATACGGAATACAGAAGCTGGACTACTTGATGCGTTGGTAATTTATTTGACCGTACAGTTAAAAGTTGATTCCGATGTCTCAGTAGTTTGGTCTTGTTCACACGAGTGATCAAGTGAGTTGCGCCGTTCAGTTCCTGAATGTTCCTGAATATAATGTTTGGGTTTACAACCACCGACAGAGGGCGCAAGTTTGTGAGTTTGTGAGGACATTGAAAGTTTTCATGACATCGGCTATTTTCCAAACAATCACCAGCCTGGTATTGAATTTTGAAATGAAATGTTTATTAAACTTTTTTTTTGTTTTGACCCCTTTGTTTTCTACAAATGCGTGTGGGACACAATGCCTATCTATATATGTACATACCTGCCGGTGGACGTCAACTGTTTTCGTGTAATGTGCGTAGCGAACTGCGCCGCTTTGAGGAGGGAGTGTTCATCTTGTTTCATAGTATTTTATTGATTTCAGGCAACCACTGGGCTAACAAAATAGAACAAGTACGTCATGAAATGAGAAGATATAATGCTGACATGCTCGTGTTGCATGGATTGGACGAAAGTGCCTGTAACTATCCATTTAATAATTGCAACTAGCACATCATGCAATCAATACACCACGTAATGTTTTATTCTGGACATTAAGCCGTACTTCTTAACTTCTAATTTCAGCAGTTTCCATTTTGTTGACGCCTTTGACGCCTAAGGCTAAACCAAAACAAAATTCAATCCACAGTTACGTATATAACGCCATGGGTTACAAACGACACGTCTTCGCTAGCGGGATTATTGTAATATAACTTATACCATTTTTTCTTGGTAGGGTTATACAACCTGCGAGGTATTGATATCCCATACAATCCTGTGTACTTCAGTTACACAATTGTAACGTTCGTTGAATCAGTGTAAGTTTGCCTTCAACAATAATTACATATTTTAAGTTGAAAATAGCGTAATACGGATGACGTGAAATATTACAGACATATATTACACAATATGACATAGGATGATTACATCATCTATTGTATGCTTATTAATCAACTTGTCATTGGTTGGTTGCGTAATTTGTCATATAGTGATTACGTAATGTATCGTGGTACTAATCACCGTGTCCTCGGGTTGTTTGGTGTCTATACGTAATATCTAATGTTGGACGAGCCTGAGTGGACATTGAGACAACCACTAGCGCTGATATGTCAAAATGTAAGCTGATACTGACAAAATAAGGATGCGCAAAAGTCGAGACGAAGACTATACAAGAGCGGGAAAAGATTCGTGTTCACGGAGACGATTACGCAATGCATCATGACGTAAAATATATTGTTACTTTATCTGATTTTTTATTTAGAACCTTCATACAAAGTGAAAAGGTACAAAAAGAAGAGATTCGAAAACATCTAAATTTGGATAAATCCGTGGACTGCATGAACACTGACCAGTCTCAATACTGCGTACGGCACTATGATTATGAAGAATTCTTGGACATATTATCACAAATGGCCAATCTACCATCAATTAGAAAAGTGTGGATTAGTGATCACGCAAGTTATGCTATATACAGTGGTGTACCTGAGGTGAGTGTGAATTATTATGATAAGTTGACAATTAGTCACGTCATCATTCATTCATTCATTCATTCATTCATTCATTCATTCATTCATTCATTCATTCATTCATTCATTCATTCATTCATTCATTCATTCATTCATTCATTCATTCATTTATTCATTCATTCATTAATACATCATGTGATGTTTGTATCTGGACATTGAGTCATACTTGTTAACTTTCAGTATTTTCGATTTTGTTGTGAAAATGATAGCTTAATATATTAAGGGGACCTGATATTCGTTTATGACTAAGTTTAAGCCAACAATATTGATGTGTATATTAATTCATTCATTCATTCATTCATCAAATCACTCATTCATTCGTTCATTTATATTTGTATTTATTTATTTAGATTAAACGGATGATGAAGCAATCACCGGTACTACTGATGAAATCAATTAAAAATAATGCTGAGATTACTGGAATGATAGAAGGCTATGTACGTACATCAAATTATAATAACCATTTTATAAAGTGTGCTACTGAAACGACATATCGTACTTAGATTATTATTATTATTATCCACAATAGTCGCCAAATTCTATGCATTTCATATTGACAATGTGATGTGTTTCAGCTGCAAGATTCTATCGCCCTCAACGAATTCTTTCACTGGTTAGAGGAGCAGGTAAGTTGTCATTGCTGTATACAACAGCGTCTTCTTTCGTGCTTTTACATAGAACTGTGTGTATATTGGAGAAGACAGGAGTCTCAGTATTAGTATATTTACGGCAATCAATCGTAATTTTGTGGCTATTCAATACACAGCTAAAGCCTTGTGTTGTGTGAGTGGTGCGACGAGGGGACACAGTATGAAGTAAATAGTAGGTTTGTGTGGAGCTAAGCTGTACTAAGTGAGAATGTATGCAGAACAATAGTATATTATTAATTAACACTGTTTGGAAAAATGGATAATAATTTCGCTCATCTAGTTTTTTTGTATTTACACCTCATCCGTGTATTTAAAATACCCATTTTATAAGACATTTCACAGTTTGTCGGAGATGGCGAGGGGGGGGGGGAGTCGTCACCTGCGCATGCGTCAGATGGTCCATAGCGTGTCAATGTTTATAGACAAGCGACAACCCATGAGCTTTTAAGTTTTTAGCGTGTGTTGTTATCATCGCTTGGAACTCGCGTGCGCAGGTGACGACCCTTCCGCTTTAAAGCTATTATTGTATTACATGTAAGAAAAAATGTCTGTATTAAAATAATGTTCGTGTATTGTTTTGTTATCAGGTACACATTGCAAAGGGGGATATTATGTTGTTGAGTGAAATGACATGTGTGGAAAAATTGTTCGAGTTCAGATCGTAAGTTATTTAGTGTAGTACTATAAACATTGCAACAATCCATCGTCATTTTAAAAATATGACAGCCACTGTAACTATTTTGCAACATATCTATCTATATGAAGACATATCTAATTATATGGACATAATATAGTTGTAAAGTTACATAACCTATATCTCTTCATAATAGAATATCTGATATTTAAAGCCAACTTTAAAAATATTATTTTTTTTAACGACCAAATAAACATCGGATGCAATGTTGTCTGAATCGATAGCTTAACGCCTTATGTTTAAACTAGCATAACTATGACTATTCTTTACACAGACAACAGCCGGATTTTATCATGGAGAGCTTTCCAACTATTTCAGCTTTTGGACCAAATGCAGCTGTCGTGCATTATAAGTAAGTTATATACACACTAGTAATAACTAACGAACAAACAAACAAACAACCACTGAACTACAGTTTTATCAATCGATTATTTGATCAAACAGTAAACTACGGGATAAAGAAATCACAATTGGACTGATCAACTGAATCATCAATTAATATAATATTTTTGATAATTGGCAATTGAATAATTGAATATAGACTCTAGTATGTTAACTAAATATATTTACTTCGCTATTTGTATTCAGGGCAACCACAGAAACCAATAGAGCAATAACTGATACTGGACTGTATCTGCTGGACTCCGGAGCGCAATTCAGGTGAGTTGAATTGTAATATGATGTGAAATTTTCATCAAACAACCAAGTGGCTTTTCTAGCTCACGATACATTCGTACTGTTTTCGTTAGTACTATAGCATAATTTATAGTTATATGGATTTCTAAGATTTTCAACACAACATCTTGACATATGGTTTACTAAAACAATAGTAACAACACAGTAACATTATTAAAATAACACAAATAATCACAGTTTGATATTCAACATGGTGCTATTTAGAATATTATTAGTGAGAACTACTTTGACAAATATGTTGTTTTTAGAATAGCGATATGTTCAGCCAAACTATCCTATCGTAATTATTTGTTGACATTTTTCGTGGGAAATTACAAACAAATACCTCAAGTGTTTGACATTTAACATCCCGATCTTTAAACTACATGTCTGTTTATTTCACGTTAATAGATGTGGTGCTACTACCGATTCGACAAGAACAGTTCACTACGGAATACCGACGCGTGCACAACGGGTAATTATTGAAATCGTGTGTAGCGCTGATATGATTATACTATGATAAGATGTTAATGTTTGAATAACATAACCGTTTATTTCATATTGCTGAACGTACCACCTTACAACACAACTAGATAATTTGGAGCATGTATAATACGTGTAATATTCTACAAATCAGTTAATATTATTTCATAATATTCATTTAGAACTGTTCACATGTTTAATTACGTTTACTTACAGGAAGCATATACTCGTGTGTTAATGGGACATATAGAACTTGCCTTATCTGTGTTCCCAGAACGAACATATGGTCAGTGATTAGAGAGAAATAGCATTATTTATGTGTATCACAAATTAAGTTTTGTATAATATTATGTATAATTTTGTATAATTTATTATCAATTCTCTAAATATCCATTATGTTATGTGCAAATGCCACTCTGTTATCTACAAACTACTAAGTATATTCCATTACCGGTATGTACAAAACCCATTCTCTTATCTACAAGCATCCTTCTGTTAACATGAACAAATCAATTACAAAATTCAGTATTACTCCATGTTATAATGCAAAATATTATCTTTTTGTAATATATTGACTCATGTCATTTTATAATTTACATAACTTATTCTGTAATGACACATCCCATTTGTAATTTACATATCCCCTTTTGAAATAATGATAACAATCCCATTTGCAACATACACATAAAGCACACATCCTATTTTGTAATGTAAACATTCTATTCTGTAATGAAACATCCCATTTCGTAATGTACAATATATTGTATATATTGTATCTTTCCAGGCAGTGGTCTGGATTCAGCAGCGAGGAAGTATCTTTGGTATTCAGGCTTAGACTATGGACATGGAACTGGTCATGGAGTAGGGGCGTGTCTGAATGCACGTGAAGGTACACATTATATGCATTACTGAATTGTAATCTTCAGTTACGTATTACAGTAATATTTTGTACACAGCAGTGTTAATAATATTGTGAGCTGATAAATAAAACAACTGCTACGGTAGCCCTAAAAAAACTAATTCAAACTATTTTATAACCAGGTCCAATTCGTATTGGGAAAACGCAGACAAGGAACGAGGAGCCGTTATACACTGGCATGTTTATATCAAATGGTGAGCCAATCAGTTACTATTTTGTCATTGTCAATTAGCTTCAATATAGTCAGTTTAAAAGTAAGGGTTTATCTAGTGTCTGTACTGTGAATCCAATGCAAGATTACAGTTTAATAGTAATCGGGCCTATATATCATCTTAATCATACCACCTCTTTTTTCAGAACCTGGTTATTATGAGTACGATGATTTCGGTGTGCGTTTGGAAAACGTGTTTTTGGTTTCGCCAACACAGAGAAGGGTAAGACATGTGCCTATTTACAAATACATACCGCTTTTTGCAACACAGACTAGGGTAAAAATACATATGTCTGTGAGATTGATATACAAATTACTAATGCCCTTTTGCAATACAGACTGGGGTAATATATTTTTGAGACTTAAAATATTGGTAAACCCACTGATGTGAAAGAAATTCATTTTTGTATTTACAGATGAATTACGGCAATCAAACATGGATGACGTTTTTACCTGTTTCCTATGTCCCTTTCCAAAATAAATTGATAATGTGGGAGATAATGTCACCTGAGCATGTAAGTATATTAATCCAAAGTGCTATATTCATACTATTAATATTTCATATCACACAATACCCACTATACTTTATAACAATGACATATGAGTAACGAGATGTGAAGGAGTGCATTGTAGTTTAAAGCAGGTACGCTAACCAATAGAGTTAACATACATTCTTCGAGCAGTACGTACTCACGTGTAACTTGGCAAATGGTGCATAGACGTGCTTCCTGAATCCTTTGAAAATGCATGCACTCCGATTTCTCTAGTCACACGTAACATTAAAAAGCACACACGCCCCATATACTGTACAGAGGGAATGCAGCGAGTGTCCGTAATACGCGTAAACAATGGATTCTAATCGCGCTGATACGCACGCGCCATATAGGACCCATTTCAAACAGGATGCGGTTACCCTTTAAATGAAAGTGCTAATCCCTAGGGGTGCACATTGTGTTTTGTTCGCTGTAAAATAACTGTCAGTCTAGATAACAATATATTGTTACACTATATTGCAGATTGATTGGTTAAACGTGTATAACCAGGACTTACGATTTGCTATCGGCGACAGACTGTACAAGAGAAACCAATTAGCATATCACTGGATGATCAACAACACAATGCCCATATATAGAGATGGCGTCTGTGGGGCTGTGGGAAACCTCTCTAGTGTCAGCCTTGTGCTGGCGCTTTCATTTGTTGCACTTCTCATGAATTTCATAGGAGTAAATTTTGTCGCATTTTGAGCTGTTCATTGTCAAAAAATTGAGTGAATAGAGTTAGTAAATACAAAAACATATCTAGTCTAGATATCTTGAAAATTATTCAATTTAAAAAGCAACTGGTCAACTTGAAAATGTTGCTAAAAATAAATATTAAAATAATAACTTTGCTTCCATAGCACACAAATTAATAAAAGTAAACAGTCCAAATAAATTATACGTATTCTACCGAGCAAAACACTTTACGTATCTATAGTTATATGTATTTTCCCATAGCGGATATTTCTAGTAATTTCATCACGTGGACAAGCATTTTTTGAGACAGTTTTAATTATTAGTACGTACCAGTAATTCGAATGGTATTCGCAGTAGCGTATTTCGTTAATTCGAAATACTGTTGGTCTGCGATCATTCCGACGTTTTTAGTTTACAAGGTATTATATTAACATGCAATGTCAAACAAAAACAAGCCTCATTAATTTAAGAAATTTAGATTTCTAATCACAGTTGACAAATTACCGTACATCGGTAGCAACCATACTAACGAAAAGTATTTCGTTAACTCTCGTAAAGTGTCCAAATCATGGCATGATAGAGTGTACCATAAACAGGTAATCGATTATTATAATATACTGGTAGTTACAACGATTGAACAATTATGTTGAATGACAATTAGAGTATTGTTTAATGTTAATTTACTCGTACACTAAATAAACACAATATATGTCAAATATGTTGAGATACGCCACGACGTACATGTAGCTTTTTTATATTGTTCAGTTTTCTGTTTTTGTATTAGTTTCATTATACACAGTGTTCTGCTTACTATTGCTGTAAAGTGTATAACCTGTGCGGCTGCTTGATGGACGATCATTATTGAATTGAAACAAAAACCTATTTGTCAATGTCTTTACCTTATGTAATAATAATTATAATTATTTTAATTTGAAGTGTTTTCGCTACGTTTATGAATAAATACATTTTTTGAAATAATACATGCGTTTTCATTACTTATCAATTACGCAACCTGTCAATTACGCAACTAGGGGCTGGGACGTTTCACACAAAACTTAAATATATCAATACGCCCGAATGCAGTCTCTTTTATTTTGAAAAAAGAAGAAATTTCATTAAACATGCTTATTGGGATATGATTTGTGCCCCATCCAAAATACCTGCATATCAAAGGAATTGAACTAGTAGTTTTCACGAATTCGAAGAGTCGAAAATACAATTGTTGACGGACGAGACGGACAATTACCTATATGAATAACTCCGCTCTGTCAACTTCGATGACATTGTAATCCCGTGTTATTTGCATTTGGTAACTGAATTCCAATACGATTTAAATATAAAAGAATACCTCACCTACACACCCACCCACCCAAACCCATCCACCCACTCTACCACCCGAATGATACAATGCAGTATTTCCTATGCAAAGTTTATTCAAAATTTTTAACTGTAACTGTGTGAGTCATGTTTTCGCAGGATTAATTATTTTTTCAACAAACTAGCGAAGATTGTTTGATTGTTGTTCAAACTATATTATGGAATTTTGAATATTTAATTTTGATTTTATTTGATTGCATCAGCGCATATCTTGCATTAGGCTCACGCATTTGTCGCATTCGCATTGCCTTTGTATAACATTGGTCATTATGAAGCATTTCTGAGTAACTTTTTTGTAAGAAAGGTTTGCAAACCTGTCTAACTTTCCAAGTTGCACAGTCTATTTACAAATATGGTTTAAGAGCAAAATTTATGCGTTTAAGTATATAATAATATTTTTATCCGATTTAAGAAAACAAGCGACGATAATTATGAAAATAAATGTTAAAATGCTTAACACGACATTAACTGCACACCTTTTTATTTTTTAATTATTTAAATAGTGGGTAAGTGGCTCACTGGATGTATGAATGTATGTATAATAGTACTGCTTTTCAAGTTTATACATTGTCGTTTATAGAAAGTGTAATTGTAGTAAATCTGATTAATCTCCGACTTATAAGAACACTTATGTAGTGTGGGTGACCTGCATGAATAAATATCTTGATGGAAATTGCTACCAATACGTCTCTGACTACACATCAATCGGATCTAAATCTGATATAATAACGGTAAGCAAAACAAAGCATAATCACAAATAAACAAAAATAACGATAAATAACAATAAACAAAATAGAGAAATTAAATTAATAATTAAAAAAATGAAATTGTGGCTTATAGATACACCAGAATAGGTAGAGCCGGATCTCGACACAGATGATATGATCTGAACTTTGTCTACTAGCAAATACAATCCGTCCAATAAAAATATATATGAAGGAGTGCTGGCTGAACACTAATACTTACACGTGGCTTCAGTTTTTTATCTGTTAAACCTGTTCTTGCGTATGAGCAAGCACAAAACGCTTAGATGATTGAATTAATGGTGATTTACATATAAGGTGATGACCTGACCCAACATTGACCCAGCTGCTCTGATTGAGTCCGCCAGAGGGCGTTTACGAAACTGAGGACGTACGTCATCTGGGGAAACCACATGTTGTGAGTTTCTGGGTTTTCTCGTAACTTGCTGACCCTGACATCGACGTCCGTTTGAAAGATCGTTACAATTAACAGCGTCTGCTTTTGAAAGATATAAACCTGAAGTGACTTATTCAAAACAGCGTATTCACTTTCAAAAAAAAAGATGGCGGCACCCAAGTTAATTTGTGAGTGTGCATGAAAACACAGAAGGACGTACATCCCGGGGATTTCCAAATGAAATCATCAATGACGTCATTTGTCGTATTACTTTTTTTTCCGCTGACTCATTGTGACAGAGTTTAGCTCCACGGCGAACTCAAAGATCCATTTAACGTTGACTATTGACAGTATTGCAACAGACTATGTACATTGCAATGAATCTTGGACGTGCTAAGCTCCGTAGGAACAAACGCAATTTTTTATTTCAAGGTACAGTGTTTTTATGGAGGGGGTTGTTGTGGGGTGTTTTTTTTCAAACTAGACCGCCAACTATCAATTTGGGCTTTACTACTGGTTTATATAATTATTAATTGATAAGGGGTGGAGATAAAAAAAGAAGAAAATGTGTGATGTACGGTGGACCATATAACTAAAACAAATCATAAATACTATACAATTTTCAGGGATGTTGTACGAATATTGAAATGTGGACTAATTGACCACAATTGTGGACAAAAACAGGAATACAGTATTATTGTATATACATGTATTGCATTTTTCGAAATGAATAGTAAGTACTATTCTACCCCACCCCCTGCTGTTTAACACATAATGTTAAATGAGAAATGTATCTATGACAGTGTCAAAAGAGAGATTAAAGGTTAACTGAGCACACTGGAATTCTATATGGGCATAATTCCTTTGCTAAGCAGTATGGCTGGTAGAATGGTTTAATGGTTTTTAATAGCTGTTTGAAAAAAAAAAAAAAATTATATCAAAAACAAATTTATCCCTTCATGAAATGAACAGTGGTGACAATAAAAAACTTATCATAATAACAGAAATATATAAAATAATAGTTGTGTGCATTTTGAGTCATAAATGACAGCTGCAAATCAAAATTATGCATTGCCAGCAAAAATACAAGTTATTACTTGTTTTCACTACAATAAATTTTATCATACTATTTTATTTTTAATTTTGCTTTCTATTTTAATTAAATTCGTTATTACTTGGTAATTGTTCTAATTTTTAGCTGTACATCCAAAGCATGGTTTTATATGGACCAATGGAACCACAGCATTTCAGTCGCAGTTCTCCTGTATTAGTGGAACCATCAGTGTTGAAAAAACTGTGCAACTTGGAGAGTTTAACAGGTTTGTAAATCTATTTTTTACAAGAAAGTCACTATTATAATAATAGGCAATGTGAATGCGACAAATGTGTGACCCTAATGAAAGATATGTGTCACAAAATAAATGACAGGTTGTACATAATTCATTGCTAACATAATTAAATCAAAATTAAATCTTCAAAATTCCATAATCCTCTTTAGATCAGCTTGTTAAATGTAGTCTTCTCTAGTTTGTTGACAAATCTTATCAGATAAATTAATTATGTGAAAAGGAGTATACTGTAAGGGGTAAATTATTTCACTGGGTTTTAATTTAGCTTATTTCACTGACTGGAAAATCCGCTAAATTAAAACCCAGTGAATATGTACAATTGAGCATAGAACACATTATCTAAATGATAAAACCGTGAATTTAAAACCCACTGAATATGCCTGAAATTGTAAATCAGCGAAATTTTTACCCAGTAAAAATTAGTCATTTCACAGTACACTGGATTGAAGTGCATTGCAATTGATGTTGCGGAAATATCTATAGATTTTGAATAAACCTGTTTGTAATGGAAACACTGCATTGTATCATTGGAATTGGCAGGTGAAGTATTTTTTTTATATTTATAAGAATTCAGTTATCAAATTATACAATTTTTTTTTATTTACTGCAGTGATGTATATGGTTTGGGATGGAGTGCTGATACATTGTGTAACCAGTGTTACATTGCTGTACAGTTACAAAGTAAGATCGGAATCTGGAAAGTACAACTAATGTAAGTAAAAATATATAAGAAATAAAATTAATTAAATACAGAACACAACAAAACTCACTATTTTGATGGTTCTCCTAATAATAGGGATGACAGTGTATTTTAAAATGGAGATTCAGCTTACTACAAACTACTCAAAATGTTTCTTTTAATAACACTACAAAAAATTCCATGATTTAATTCTACGACATTCTACTGGAAGTTGTGAATTTTCCAATATATTTTTTAAACTTTTAAAGTTTGCACTTTATTTCAAATTTGTTTGGGTACAGATTTTATTGATGTGCAAATAGAATAAATAAAAAGTTTCATTTGACTGGGATCAAATTGTTATAATTTCTGCTATCGGCATCGTTTTACATGCATCTTTCTCTCATTTGTAGTGTTGATGCATTCAAGTTAACTGAAATTCTTGAAATCAAAAGAGAGAATTTACTTCCACATGGTAAGTATTTCTTTTAAATAAATTGGATTAATCGGGTTTTTCTAGAAAAAAACTGCAAGAGAGAGCACTGCAATACAGCGGCACCACCGAGTGGGAGATAGGGTTCTCCCTACCAGGTGGGGAGTTTTTGATAATTCTAAGTTAAAATGTTCTATGGCTTCCTTGGGCCAACATTACTATCAGACAGGTCACAGTTGAAAACTGTGGCCACATGTGATCCCTGGTCAATCAGAATTTTAAGGTTGCCAGAGCATTTGCTCCCCAGGATAAGGAAACGCATGGCCATGGCATGAGGGCGCTGTGCCCCTGTTCCCTTGTTTAAAAAAATCCCTGTTAATTTAATTTGGGCTTTAAACTAATTAAAATGATGTTAGAAATGATTTGAATGTTTTTAACATTTAGTTGAAATAGAGAAAATTATTGACAATATTACTTGTTACTTCACAGTGTTGCTATGAACCATAAAAATGCATTACAATGGATTTCCCTACAACCGTTACATATCTGTTTTTATTTTACCTTTTGGTTTATTCGTTTGTTTGTTTACTCATGTTCTCATGAATAATTAATCACATGACTTAATGCTTAGTGACGTGATTTGTAACAAATATATGTAACTACTGGCAAATAATTAATTATGATTAACTAATTATTATTAGCCTTCTAACATGACTGATTTTGTGGATATCAAAAATGGAATCCTAAAAAAAAATCAAGTCCCATGTAGACAGCTAGAGAGAAAGATCTTTGTGAACAAATAATGATTGTATGTGATTCATCGTTATTGTCCTTTTTTGGACAGAATAATTCACACCTAATATCTAGCCACTATTTTACATGCAAAATGTTTAGATATATTATTACATTATTTCAGGACTTTTATACTCAATGATAGAAATGATAGTTAAAATAAAATCCAGTGAATATACCTTTTTTCCTATTTTTTTTTCACATTCAACTTGTCAAAATTCAGTGAAAATAAATTTCATACAAAACAACTAAAAAGTCCTTTCAGCAAATATTCATTTCAGCTAGTATTATACAGTAGTTAGATAATCTGCCAATGTGTTAGCAACTGTATCTCAGTCAATTCACTGTGTGCTAATCAAATCCTGTTGGTTGATTTCTCAAATGTACATGTTACTCACATCAATTGTATACACTACATTATAACAGGATTTGTATGGCATCCAAGTCTTCCTGTGTTGTGTGTGCTGACTAAGTCAAAGGTGGAAATATTTCACATTGAAACACCGCAAGAGTACAATTTACATTGTGGACATGCCATCAGTGGAGGCCTGTGGATGAAAGGTGGTGAAAAACTTGTAATCTCGGATGGGGCGTCATTGGTGGTAAGTTAACATAACACAACAATAGTGGTATCATGGTAAGCGGACATAACATGACAATAGTGGTATCATGGTAAGCGGACATAACATGACAATGGTGGTATAATGGTAAGTGAACATATCACAACAATAGTAGTAACATGGTAAGTGAACATATCACAACAATAGTAGTAACGTGGTAAGTGAACATATCACAACAATAGTAGTAACATGGTAAGTGAACATATCGCAAAAATAGTATCATGGTAAGTGAACATATCACAACAATAGTAGCAACATGGTAAGTGAACATATCACAACAATAGTAGTAACATGGTAAGTGAACATATCGCAAAAATAGTATCATGGTAAGTGAACATATCACAACAATAGTAGTATAATGGTAAGTGAACATAACATGACAATAGTGTCTTAGTGGTAAGTGAACATGACATGACAATAGAGACCATAACATCATATATTTAAAATATTTTTTCAATACATTGGAGGTTTAAATATTTTTGATTTCTTTCTTTGTAGGTGTGTAATTTTACTGACCTAAGAACATCTATCAAAGATGTTAAAATAGTTGAATGGGAAGTTCCCAAGTAAGTATGTTTTAATGTCTTACATCACAATATGACTAATTCACACATGAGGCTGAGTAAACAAGTTGTGCCTCTTGTATTTAAAATCATTTCCGTATTAGCTCAGAGAATAATTAACCATGGACCAGTTAGTTACATGTAGTTTGATTCAAATACTCGCAATATATAAAATGTTATCCTGTACATGCCATGCACATGGAAACAGTCAAATGGAAGTTTAATTGTTTGTTTACTATAAACATGAATATAGTACAGGTTATATTAACTGATACATTACCCTGTGTTTTAATAATCATTATGCCAAAAAACATAAAAAAAAATATTAGATACAAAAAATAAAGAAGTCAACAAATTGTGATTAGGATTTTTCTGATTTCCAAGAAAATAAAAATGTCAGCATTATATGTAGCCCAAGCTTAAGTGTTTCCCATAAACCAGATTCTGCCGTAAATTTGCCCATCAAAATATCGCCCTGGGCGGATTCACAGCTGGTGGACCCTTATTTGGTGTTCAAATTTTCAAAAAATGATCATCAAATATTGTTAGGGGGCTTATATTTTCATTGAAAAGTACACCTACCTATCCACCCGATTTTCAACGCCGGAAGTTGGACCACCCAAAATGAAAGAAACTATTTTTATAAATTTTTTTCTTGCTGAATTGAAAAGTAGACCGCACATCTTTCTCCAAAATAATCACATTAACGAACCTGGGCAAATTTACGGCAGAATTCGGTATGATATAATTTAGTATTGCATACTTTCTGATGTCATATAAAGCTTTTACAACTGTACCTATTTATTCTCAGCCTGTATTTTTTTATTATGTTTTCTATCTTCACTTATATTTGCTAGTATTGATGGTAAGATATGTTCCATGGATGTGATAGATTGTAATCAGCTTGTTATCACATCAAATCTACCATTAGATCGATTGATATCACACTGCAAACTAGATATGTTTGAAGCCGCGGACGTCCCCCATGATATAAGTGATGGTTTGTGTTCATCAAAACATTCAGATAGTAAGTCAATTCATATCATTATTATACATCTGTCACCGTAATGCCATATGTTATGTGTGATGTTAATTTGCTGTTTTTTACGTGGTATTTTCATATTAGGAAATGCGAATTCCAATAATGGAATGATTACGTGCGTAAGTGTCCTCTCAAAATAAAAACAAATATGGCTGCCACCAGAGTTTGACCGGACTCCAAAGAAGTTCGCTGATTCTTTTCTAAACATTTTGGATTTCGGAATTCCCATGCTGTATCCTTGGAAGGAAAAGATGTATATAATAAGGTTAATATGACAGGACTCCAGTTAATACAGCTGTACTATCTTTGTGCATACTTTGAGGTATCCTCGTAATAATCTCATATTATCACATGTGTGTGCTTACATACATGTATACTCTGCTGACACTGATGGTTATGAGTATGTCCAGACTGTCAATTTCAATGTCAATGTCATTCAGTATACGATATATTTGGAAATGCCAAACTTGATACTCTTAAAATGACATATTTAGATGAAAAATTTAGATTATTGATTGTAAGCTAACTGCTCTTACCAATTTTATATGGAGAGTGATCTCGTCCTCAATCTTTGACATAATACACCTCATACTGCACAAACTGTTCAACTTTCAACTCTTCTGCTTTCATGAAACTGTGCCATATTCTAAGACTATGAAATTTGGAAGTCAAAATGATTTGACCAATATTTTATAGTTTCTTCAGTCTTGTGGCTTAATTCACTTAAACATGTTTTGAAAATTGAGCATTGCACTGCTGTGCGTTGTTGTATATTGATAGTAACATTTATCATGGTAATAGAAATTAATGTCACTGGATGTCCTATGCTTATCTTTCAATAAATTTTGTTTTCTTTTAGCAAAAAAAGTGAATCTTAGTACTGCTACTTTGCATAAAGAATTAGATGTCACCAAAAAAGGACCAATAGATTTGACTGCATTAATAGTAGGCAAGAAAGAAGAGTCGGCCTCTAATAAAGTAGTTACAACTGTTCTTGGAGATGAAGTTGAAATGAAAACACCCAGTGTAGAACATGGTGAGGATATTGAAACATTGGAAATCACAGGTGAAGACAATGTTGAAGGTTCACTATTTAAACTCAAAAGGACAAAGTTGGTAAGTAGAATCAATTATATATGGTGATAGTACTGTCTATAGATCTGTGGTTAACATCTTAAAAAACAACTTTGTGTTTGGTGTTGTAGCTGTAATAATTCACATTATTTTTATGACATTCTGTGAATCATTGTTTGTTTGACACATTTTTGGTGAATGCAACCATCCATGGCCATTCATATTAACCCATATGTGATTGTGGAAAAACTGTATTTCACTGTTATATTTTAATTTGTTTGGGTGTGTTCTTATAACAGCAACTCACATAAATCTAAACCAAAAGATTTCGTTGTCTTATATCACATGATAATTAACTGACAAAATCATGCAACTTAGCATTTGATTTCCCATGGAAACACTTGACTTAGTGTT